TGGTAATTTTGTGCACTTGGTACATATCCAATAAATTAATTTTAATGTTTTTTCTTAAAATTCAAAAAACTGCCTTTGAAACATTGGTTTTGAATTTGCTTCTTAGTTAGTATTTAATTCTCAATTCATTCTAATTTTGTTTTCTTTTAAACTGATAACAGGTAAGGAATAAATTAATTTTTTAGTGAAATGATGGTATAAAAAATGTGCCTTTATGCTGTGAATGTGCAGTTTCAAATTAACATAAGCACGATTTGCGTTTCAAGCGGTATATTTTGAAAATTGAATGTACCATTGTAAAAAGTCAAAATTTGGCAATTGTGATAGTTCGAAAATTGGTCATTCAATACTACATCTCTTCTGCTTTTCTTTCTAACTTTTAGTAAACATGCAGATTTATTTTTCATTAAATTTTTCACAAGTACCTTAGATATACCTTAAATTATATATCTTAAATTTCTTTTGTGACATTGGATTGAGAAAAAAAATTTTCCGCAAAAATAGGTATTCATTTTTTGTAATGAAAGTGCTGTCGAAATTGAAGCTGCTGTTCAATATGTCGAAATATTTTTTTTGCGGATATAATGACATACAATAAAAAACAAATTTTTTGACAAAAAAAAATTGATGCCATATTTTTTTTGCCTTTTATTTGGTCAAATGCCAGACGATTAAAATTCATATAACAATCTTAGTTTAAAAATAGTTTGAAAAGTCAAAACGTTAAACTTTTTAAAAATTTTATATATTAAAATAAAAATATTTTCGCATAACCATAGTAAGTGACTATTACATGCAAGGTGAGTTAAGATTAATAATTGAATTTTTTTTGTTCTTAAAGAAATTTGGAAAAGCTTAGAGTTTCGTGTACATAAAGTGGCGAAAATTTAAATTTACCGGGTTTTTACTTATGAAATACAATTACTTGGCCAGTCCCGAGTGATACAATTTTCTTCTTATGATATATGTAAATTAATTTTTAAAACACCTATTAAAGTGTTACAAACTTAGATTTATGACAAAGATAACATCAATATTTTGAAAACAAACTAGTTTTAAATAACGGTAAACTTCAGCGGCTATTTTGATATTGCGATTTTTGACAATACTGCACAAATAGCCAAAAAATTTGAATTTTTTGTACCTCGTAGTGCTACAACTTTTAGAACGAGGTGATTGGTTAAAATTATCTTCAAAGAAAATAATTTTCTACTAAAGATCTATTTGTACACAAAATTTTCATCTTGAAGGTGCAAATGTTTTCAAACAGACACACGGATGAACAAGCATTGATGATACTCTTTGTTCTTGAAAAAGTGCTAAAACCGAAAATAAGAATATAATATGTAGTCATAATAATTATAGTACATATGAGAGTTTTTTTTATTCTCAGTAGAAAGTATAATTTTATTGTACGTCTAAAATTTTATTGTAAATCAGCTAACTACATTGTTTTTTAGCACTTTTCCAAAAATTTTTTTGAAAAAAGTGCTTATTAGTTTCACTCTGCCGTCCGTCCGTCCGTCCGTCCGTCCGTCCGTGGACACTTTTTTTGTTTACAAAACTTCTACACCCTTGAAGATAGAAAGCTGAAATTTTATATGTACATAGATCTTTACTAGAAACTTACTTCCGTAGAACAAAATTTTTACCTATCTCCCCCCCTCTGGAAGTTATACCCCCCCAAAACCTTAAAAATGGCCTTTTTTAACTATTTGTTGCAATGAAACCATAAGCATTTTTGAAATTTTGCAAACGCAGAAAGGCAGCGGCTTGCTTTCCCTAGCGCGGTATACTACAGTTAAACTTTAGAAAAACAAAATGGCCGCTCAAATTTACCGTTATCTAAAGTCCTTTTTTTCCAAATTTTTGATGTCGTTTTTCTTCTAGATCCCAGCCTGTAGAAGCTTGAAATTTTAGAGACTTTTAGACATTAACAAATAGTTCATTTCGTTGGAAGAAAATTTTTTTCCATCTCCACCCCCTCTCAAGTTATCGCCCCTTGAAATTTGTAAAATTTGAATTTTTGACACCTTATATTTCCGAAATCGCACGTTTTTTCAAATTTCTATAAACGCAAAAAGCTAACGGTAAATTCCATGACATTAAAAAATATAATTATTTTCCTTAACTCACACAATTAACCCTTAAAATCGAGCATTATGTTAACCCCACTTGATATTAATTTTTGCTTTATTTCAAAGACTGCATAAATCGTTCATCCTAAAAATATGCAATCCTAGAAAGAGTTTTGTATATGAATGAAAATAATTTTAATAGTGTGATAGGTATACATAGACTGTATTTAAAATCAGAATTTTCACTTGTTGAAGGGAAAAGTGCTACAATACAAACCATTGGTTTGACCCAACTTTATTATTATTTAACCTTAATTTGGTTATTATTTATTTTGTATTTATAGATAATTCTTTGACTTGGAGCTTTGTTCATTAATAACTACAAAATTTCAAAATAATTTTTTAATTCTACAAGTGTTCATAAGACAATCCTTCGTTCAAAATACTACCATCACTTCTGAAGCCCAAAATTTCATTAAACATTCATAAAATTCTATTCAAGTTTTGCATTAAAGAAAAAAAACCTAGTTTGGAAGCACATTCAATGACCTTAATTTCTGGTCGGCATTGAAAACAACATCGTCTTTTTCTGCTTTGTTCTACTGTAGCTATACATATATTTTACATATTATGTTTTATTATAATTATTACTACGCACAATTGTACATACAACTTATGTTTATAAATTTAGACACCATAATATGCAAGTGATCGTTTATTTTAAGAACAAAATTTTCTTTACATCTTGCCTTACAGCGTTAATAAAAATAATTTAATCGTGCAAATCTATAATAATTTATTTCTTCTGTTAAGAAACATGAAAGCTAAAACAAGTTGAATGTTTATACACGTTCAAGATTTACAAAATATACAATATTTAAAAAGATCCAAATACACAAGGTTACCATTCTTAGATTATGACCTACATTTTATGAATTTCAAATGACACATGTATGTATGTACATATATAAAATAACTAGCACCGCGGTTGCTATGTTAGAAAAATAACAAGCTTTTAAAAGCTTTTCATTTTTTTTGCTACACCATCGCAAAGTGCTAGAATGTTAAAAGAATTCTGTTCTAAGATCATAAAAACAGAGATTTTCTATTTAATAAGAAAGAGACGTTGGCTCATAATATAAAAATTGTTTGTATGAAAAGTGGAAAAACTACGTTCAAACTACTACCAAAAGTTCAGTAGGATATTATGAAATATTAAATTTTTGCACCTACATACATATATTGATTGAAAGAATTTATCCAATTTTAACAATACTATAAAAAGTGTCAAATGTAGTATGTATCATGTAGTACGTAAAAACCAATAACTCATATTGAACGATAAGAACTCATCGTTGTCATAAATGGATTAGCCGTTGTGCTTGTCATATTTGTTGTTTTACGTATTAGATATTACAAGTCCGATCTGTTATTAAAAGCAAAAACAAAAAAAAAATAATGTTAAATGAATATATAAATACAATTTCTTTTTTTACAAATTTTAATATGGTACGTACATTTATGTATAATCAAAATAAAAGCTGAAAATCAAATAAAATTATAACATAACCGATAGGAAATAAACATACACGAAGCAAAAAAACACAAACAAAAATGAGGTTAACAACCGTTTTCGTACACACAACAAAGAAAAAGAAAGTTATTTATTCACAAAAATGTATTGAACCCACTAACATTATTGCAGCTACTTACCTTTGAATCTTTTGTAAAAACTATAGCAATAGTAAAGTGCTGAAAAAATCGCAACATATCGCAGTTTTTTCATTTATTTTCTTTTCAAAATATTTACTCAAAATGTTTAGTACTTTCAATACTATTTCGCATCTTTTAATGAGTAAAATATCAGTGGTGAGTCATATGTATCTATACTATATTCGAAAAGTAAATAAAAAATTTTATTTAAGTATATAGGCCTATATAGCATCATATTAGAAAACCTTTCTGAAAAGAGAAATAAACGTAAATTTAATCACTCGCCTCTCTTTTTAAGATTTTCATATGAAGCGAGTTAATTTGTCCATCTGTTCGCCTGTCCGACCGTTCGTGGACCCGTTTACAAAGTTTCTACACCCTTTTCTTGACTAGAAACTAGAAATTTTACTTATAGATTAGAAATTTTACTTAAACGTAGAAATTTTACTTATCCCCCCACCTATAAAAACTATAACCCCTCAAAACCCTGAAAATGCCATTTTTTATCTATTTTTTATATACTTTTTAGACAAGCGAGACTACAAGCATTTTTGAGATTTTGCAAACACCGAAAAGTAATTGTTGACTTCTGCTACCGCGGCATACCATACTTATTTGTAAGAAATCTCTTCCAAATTTTTGATAACGTAAGGTCTAAGATTCTACCAACTTTCAGATACTGATAAATAGTTCATTTCGTTAGAAGAAAAGTTTTTTCCATATCCACCTCCCCTCGAGTTATCGGCTCTTCAAATTTGTAAAATTTGAGTTTTCCGAAACTGCAAACTTTTTTAAATTTCTACGAATGAAGGAAGCTAACGGTAAATGAAATGCCATTTCACTAAAATTCTAAATCAAATTAGTTTTATTATGTTCAGTTTCGATCTATAAAAAATTCAAATCAAATTTATTAAAAATACTTTTAATTTAATTGGACCTTTTTTAATGTCCCTTTTGGCATACATCCGCACATTAAATTATTATTCATAACTTATAAAAAATTGGTTACAAAGTACTGTTATGCTGAATATAGTTTTAAATATCAATATTAATTAACTATTAATTTAACAGATTTTTAATTTTATATTTAAAATTAAAAAAACTTATTTTAAATGGTGGGGCAAATAGTAAGAATAATTTTTCAACTGCACTTTAAAATATTCAATTGATCAGATGATAATCTCAATAAGACAAAATAAAGTAAACACGACCGCTTTTTTCTTTAATTTTCAGTCTGTTGAAAGGCTTGAAAGCGAACGAACGTTAATTTAAGTTGGTCGCGCACATTATCTTATGATTAAAAAATAAAAATAACAATTTTGAAGATTTTTTTATATTTTTTCTTTATTTTTCAAACCGGCATATTTAGATAAAGTTTGAAATTTTATGAATACAAAGTATAAAATTTACCTACATATTTGATGATTTCTCCAAGTGAAATTTTTAAAATAATAAAAAAAATTTCTTTAGGAAAAGAAAAATTAAAGAAAAGTTGAATGAATTGCGGCTGTTGTGGTCTATAAAGTTTTTGTGTCAAGAACAGATTTATTGATTTAAAAATTTAAAGAGAACGGTAGACATTTTTGCTGATTTTATTTTAAATTTACTATTTTTTAAAAAAGGTGTATAAAAAATTGTTTCATTTTTGTTTAATAAATTGAAATTAATTACGAAACTTTTGGAAAAATGAAAAATTTTGATAAAGTAAGTAAATTTTGTCTTGCCTTTTGTTTAATTTTATTATAATTATTATTCTAAATATTTTGTTGTGGTAATTGTTATTATTTTAAATCGGTTTTATTGCTTAAAATTTTTAATTTGGTTTAAAACACATGTACATTGTTATAAAAACCATTTTCGAAATTATATTTCTGGTATTAAAAACAATAATTAGGCAAATCTTTCAACAATTTGTTCAATGATTTGGAATAATCGGGTTTATCCATGGACCAATGATTTTAAAGCGACTTTATTTGTGGTTTTATGTTATTATTTCTTTATGTTTTTGAAATGGACTTTTGACTATACATTTAAGGTTTTGAAAAAAGGGGGCATAATAATAAAACAAAATGATTTGTAATATTGAAAACGAGAATCGTGGAATTGATATTGAACTTTCAAATATCGTAATAATTTTATAGTTGGTTTAATTCAAAATTTAGTTAAATTAAAACTATTTAACTTTAATCTAATTAATTAACAAATAAATATATGTAATTAAAGGTATTATTTTTTAGAATGGGAATTTAAATATGACAGGAGTTTTATTTTTTTGGCATTATAGGTTTGAGTATAGGTAATCAAAATAAATAATAAATACAGGAGCTCTCAATATTTTTTTCCGGTTGCATTTCCCTGTAACTGACTTAAGAAATCCTTCGGGTAGAGTGTTAGGTGTATTTGAAATATTGCAACTAGTCCGTTCAAATTAATTTAATTTTTAATATTTGAAATGAGCAAAATCAGTGATGCCATTTTAGTATATTTCGTGACAGATCGTGAATAATGAAAAGTAGTTATGCATAATATTTTTTTAAAAATTTATGCTGAATAGGCTGGAAAGAACAAAATCTGGCATATATTTTACTCAAAATATACTTTTTATTCTTAAAGTTAGAACAACCAATAACTTCCATAACGTCAGATGTATGACTTTACTCCATTGATGTGCAATTGCTTTAAAACTTCTAAAAACAATTTGCTTTTCTTTTTGAAAATTTTAAAATTAGTGATATGTAAGATTAGAGTTTAATGTTTTTGAAATTGAAAATGAAAAAAGTGGTCCATTTTGAGTATTTTGAAAGAGACAACAACAATATTATTATTCATAAATATAATTGCGAAAAACTCTAAAAGCAGGAAGATGCAAAGAAGAATAACCAAATAGAAAATTCGAATACAGAAATTTTTGTATCTTGGGGCAACAGTTTAGGTCCATGCCATACAACATCAAAACTTATCTAAGAAACTAAAAAAGAAGAAAATGAGGTCTTAAATTGTCAATTAAACATTTTTAATTAAATCAGCTTATGAACGAAATTATTTTTCAATTTCATTTCATTTTATGAAATTTGCGATATATGAGAGTAGCAATAAAGCCGTCATTTCATTTCTTCAACAATTAATAAAATGTAAAATTCTCAATTTATAATGTAGTCCTTTACACACAGCGTCAGTTTGCATACATATATACCTATTTTCAAATGCACTTTTCGTTCATTTAAATGCGTACTAAATACTTTCTAGTATGTTTGAAATAATTGAACTTATTACCCATAATGTGTAAAAATAATTTATGTAGTTTAGAAACTAAACTTGTTTTGACGAAAAGTTTCGAGTAAGGAATTTATACATAAATAAAAAACTTATTAATTTTTAGAAGAGTAAAATATAAATATGAATTCTTAAAAGAATTATAAGAATCTCCATGTAAACAATGGCAAACCGGTTTTCCAAATATCTATAATCTTGCCGTTATTACGTGTTTAAAGAAAGGTAACAGATCTGACTATGTGCTTCGCGCGTAAAAAAATTTGGTCAAACTACATGCATACCTATAATTATGTAGCATATTAGAAGACTCATCTTTTTGACTGAATAAAGCGCGTCAGTTAATTATTGTTATACGCTGTGACTAATTTAGTCATAGCATGATAATAATTTTATTAAAATGTTTTAGTACTTTTGTATCAAAATTGCCTTTCTATGTCACTTTTCCATCTGTTTGTCTGTCCATCTATGCATTACTTGTATCTACACAGGTAGAAAGTTACAATCTTAAAAATCTTAAAAATACCACTTACGTTAAGTGTACGACAATTTATTGCTAAAAGTAGCTACCCGGTTCTATTATCGCGAATGGGATTGTCAAATAATCATCACTGAAATTTACCGTCAAATAATCATCATTTAAATCTACTTTTCTTTAAATTTTTAACATCATGTTTCTCTTAAAAGGAAAATCGCATGAGTCCAATTTTACCAGCTACTGGACATTGATAAACAATTCAACTCGTTTAGAAATAATTTTTCCAACTTTTTCTCACCATGTTATCTCCTCCGGCAATTATTAGTAAAATTTTTATTTTTGACCTGTTATATTTACGATAATGCAGTAGTAAAAATGCTTACCACCAAAAAATTTAATGGATTTTTTTAACTCGCTTAATTAAACATAAAATTCCACTATTCGGTTAATGCATTTTAAATTTTTCCTTTTACTCCAGAATGAATGCAATAATTTCTTTTTGGTATTATAATTTTAGTACGGCTTTGTGTTGTAATAAAAGAAATGTTTCAAAGAAATGTGCTACTTTAGAAGCTATTGCTTTGATTCAAGTTTATTTATTTTATTTTCAATTTTAAAGAGATAATCTAAAAATATCGTTTTTTCTTCATACCGTCACACCTCAATCAAAGCCAGAGTATAAAATTATTCTCATCGAACCATAAAAAGCTAAATCGTACGAATTTTTTTTGTTCTTTGTGTCTGAAGAGATCGATAAAAGCATGATTAATAAAATTTTTTTTTGGTTTGATATAGTTGTAAATTTAATATAGCATAACAGTGCGTCTGAAGCATAGCATACGTGAGATTTATTCAAATTAATCATTCCAAACAACAAAAAACTGGTTTAGATATTCCATTAAAGTTAAATTAATTTAAATTGAAAATTAAATCTTACTTGTATGTATATTATAAGAAGTGATAATGCATAATAACTAAAATTAATAATTCTGATTCTAGACTGATAAATTATACAATCAAAATAGGCGCGATACTTGTAGGCATAAGTTATTGATGCATGATTGTAATGAAAAAATGATATTCTCTTTTTAATTATCCTCTAATGTAGATTACATAAATTTCTGATTTGCACTTGGTACATATTGTATTTTTAATAAAATATTGAAAGCATTAGAGGAAAGTCAATCCACAAATTTCAAATTGACGCCGAACCTCTATTTTGTTAAAATCATACGATAAGCATAATTATCAACAAGAAGAATTATCTTAAAATTTTACTCTAAATTTAGTTATCTTTTGGTTGTAATCAAAAAATCCACTTATTTCTCGATAATAGCAGCGGGATTCCTATATGCTTCCATTATAGATTAAAAAGATGAAATTAGTTGATGCCCTTTAGAGAATATTTCCAGTTTTTGTAGTTATGGGAAGTCTGTCTAGAAAGGACCATCATGTAAAATTTACAACGTTTTTCACGTGGAGTTTGTTTCAAAATGCTTTTTTAATTTTGAAAAATTAAAAATATTTTTGGAAAAATTTTCCAATCAAATAACAAAATTTCAGACAATCGATAATGTAAAAAAAAATCTTTTCTTTCTTAAAATTTTTACTTTCAACAGCATAAAATCAAAATTTTTTTCCAGAATTCATTTTACAATTACTTTCTAATAAATAACAAAAAACAGAACCAACACATAAACAAATATAATTTCCTCTCAATAATGTACATACATAGTATATGTACTATGTGTTGGTAAAATTTAATTAATAGCATTTGATTTTAATTGGTTTCGGTTGAAGGGAAAAAATGAATAAAATAAAAGACCATCAACTACTATCATCAATCAATAAAATTAAAAATTAAACTCTTTTTTTTTATGAACAAATAAATAGAAAATAAATTTTATGGTTTTATATAGTTCAATGTCAGTCATTACTTAAAGAAATCGATTAATATAAGAAAATCAATTAATTTCAGATTAAAATTTACTCTATATATGCATAAGTGTGTAAAGAAACAAAAACTCAACACATTTTGTATTTTGTAAAATAGAAAAACGTGTGTTTGTTGGTATTTTACACCAATCTGTATGTTAGCTTTAAAACAAGAAGCATTCATTGTATTAATTAATAATTTAACATTTATAATTAAAGTACTTTTTATTATAACGAATGGATGAATTTTTGAAATTTTTCTTTGTTTTTTTCTTGTGGCACAATTATTGCAGATTTGACCTTAATTATAAGAATTTTGTTATGAAAAACCGAAAAAAGAGGTAAAAAATCTCTTGACTTTATTTTCCAGCAATTTTTTGTAGTGACTTTTGTATAAGGTCAAAAGTTTGTGTGATATGTTGGCTGACTGTATGAGCGCTTGATTTAAAATTGTGAACCGTAATTTTGTAAGTGTATTTTATTTTTTATTACTTTATGTATACCTGTCTTTTATTTTCATGGAGGTAAAAATAATATATGAGTTCAGTTATTTTGTAATTTTAATTATTTTATTATTTTTTATATTTTCGCTTTATACATAAATATAATATGTATGTATGTGCACATATCCATACATATGTGTACATTATATTAGCATGTACTCTAAATGAAAAATTCAAGTTCACTAAGTTTTATTAAACTTTTTAAATTATTATGCTTTCAAATCATTTTGCAATATTTTTGATTATGTGGATATGTATTTATAATATCCACATTGGTATAATAATATTTATATGAATGTATACGTATATTTACTAGTAAATTATGTGTGTTAAATCGAGGTATAGAAATAAAATACATTCTAATTTCAAAATAAACAATGCTTCAAATAAGTACACTCGTGAAACCACTACTGTATTTCTTTCATTAAAACTGTGAATTTTCATTTGACAAATTGCATATCGAGTTTTTACTTAATCCGCTAACGTTCAATCTCATAAATATTTTACATAATTAAAAA